AATTGCTGATTAAGAACATTTCAAGCGTACTAGTGTATATTCCATGTCTATAAGTTAAACTGGAAAACAGTCACTTTAATTTAAGACTTACAACTAAAAATACATATTTGCAAATTCATGAAAATTACAGTTGGCTGTTATTTTGTTGGCTTGTTAAAGAAATCAGATAATATTTTTTCTATTTCTTTCGTAATTAATTACTCGTATTTTTGGCAATAAATATATAGATGAAATTTATATTGAAGTGCCATGCTTTTTATTAAAAAACAATTACCCTTGTAATTGATTTCTCATATACCTGGAGTGTGAGGGTTGCCTCTTATGCTATTTAGATTGGATTAAAAGTACAAGTAACTAATAAACAGTTGTTATCCAGCAAAGTTGATTTATAGTTGTTTATCCCAGATAATTTATATACATGTATTAACCGACAGCTGTAGTGCCTCTGAATAACAAAACTGATATGTCTGATTATTGAACATCAGTTACACACCCCTTTGGAGAAAATGTATACTTCTCAAAAGAAGTTGATTAACGCTTGCCAATGAAGATACAAAAAAAAAAAAAATGAACCATGCCTACTGCCATAAAAATTAAGCAATTCCAAGACAAAGCCATCAACCCACATTAACTACAATCCTATTTAAAATGACTTTCAATTAAAAAAAATTGTACTGGTTAAAAGTAATAATAATGATTTTATTGGGGTGAAATGGGTAAATATTTGGGTAAATGTATATGATGTCACAACTTCCTGGGGCTTATGCTCGGGAAAAGAGAGGCTCTGCTGGATTGATAGCGTACTTGCAATGCCCATGTGAATGGCTATCGTGAGATTCACACTGTAAGAGCATTGACTGACACATTTTTCCGTGCCCCTGCGACATAATTTGTCAGTGTAGGCAACAGTCCCAGGTTAATCGATGTCTTGTCACATCCCCACTTAAGGAAAATTTTCTTTATTTGTCTGTCATACGGAACCTTACTGACCCTCCCAGAAAGCTTAAAATATCCCCCAGAAGGACCACTCACACTTCCATTAATGGTCAAATTGTAATAAGTCGTTTAATTGAGCCAAACCTTTGTTGAAGACTTTAGGCAGTGCGACCAGGACCCACTGGCAAGATAAAGAACCTCTCTTGCGTTGGCAACCTTTCAGAAACGCTGGGCAAGGTAAGAATGATTACTGGTTGCATTGCCTTTACTGAGTTCAGATTTACAACCCAAAAAAACAATGACATAACTCACGTATACAGGCGAGTCCAGATAGATGTGACTCAAACAAATGTAGTGGTGACAGTGCAATGGTATGGGGTGGGTGTTCAAGTACAGTAACATACTTCCCTTTACATTACTGCTGGAAAACTCATCGGATTCTATTCAGAAATAAAATCCTGGTACAGCTGGTAATGCCATTTTTCAGTAGGACAGGCCATGGAACCATTTTACAGGTTGCCAACGTACGTCCTCACCGTGAGAGTTGCCAATCATTTCCTTCTGCAGAGAAACGTCCTACAAAAGGACTGGTCTGTCTATTTGCCCGATATGCACCTTTATTTGACCACTTAACGGTACAATTTCAGTAACATCATCCCCACCAGTATACATTATTTTAATTAGCTCGCCATTGCATGCACGGGTTAATTACCAGCACAATGTTTTAACTAATACATCCAATAAAGCAAATAAACGCAGGTTGAGTGGTAATCTTGCTGGCAGGCAACATTCACTTATTTACCTGCAAATGCAGATTAACTGCAAATGATTATTCACCTCAAACCTGTTGTTATTTCTCCAGTCATTTCAGGTGGAAAGTTATCTATATATATGTGTGTGTGTGGCATCCAGAGAGCTCAACTATGCGGAGCATTTATACACTATCAAAAAAAAAAAAAAAAAAAAAAACTCTGGGTTTCACGGGCATACCCATAGAGTACATGTATGTTAATTTTTTAATAAACACTTCCTGACGATCGGACATACCCTATGGGTATACCCATATATATATATATATATATATATATATATATATATATATATAATGTGTACTCGATCCAATAATGCAGTCATGGAGAGAAATAAATAAATGTGAACAAAGGCAAAGACATAATAAAGGTCTGATATTCATAGACTTACCGCCCATGGCTTCTCCACTGTCAATACATTGAATCAGAACCAAGCAGTGAATGCCCAAACATAGTGTCTCTCGCAAAAACAAGGACAATATACCCATATCCTACAGTCTAACTCCAGACGAATGCCACTCCTCAGATGGTCTGAGACAAAACTTATCGTGACTTCTGATTTGTTGTGATTCAATACGAGGCTTGATATGAAACACACATTACCTTATTTGTTGCACGTATTTCCGCAATTTTTTAATGACTCCTTAAATTGGCAATGTAATAAAGAATGCGGGTCTCAAACGTTTGCTTAATATGCATTATTTTAATGAGAACCTTTCTCATGATTAGCTTCTACACATAGCATGAATGAATCAATACAACAAAAATATTTGTGAAATGCTGAAAGTTATGAATACATGTATAATACAGCGGAACATAAATAACCTATTCCCTATTAGATCATATTTGGAAAATTATGGACACATCAAGCACGTGTGCTAGCCGAATTTAAGATGGAATGGCTTTTGAAATACTTGTAATTACCGCAAAGTGTTATGGGGTACTTTATATTCTAAATCTCATTACACTTGCAAGCCTAGAAAAAAAAAACTTTACTAACATTTCAATCATTTTGCCCACCCACCGTCCTAGTTTCCCTAAAACACATGAATAATTCATATAAACACTTAAATACACTCTAAGTGAATAAAAAAGCAAAATCAACATAGCAAAGCTAGCTAAGAAAGCAATATACAGAGATGGATCGAGCAATGATTCGTGAATGGAGGAAATTGCTTTTGCCTCAAGGAAAAACACTTATGTACAGTAGTTTACACCACGAGCACCAGTAAAGTCTAAGGTTTGGTTAATTGTGATGTAAGGTTTTATGGCATTTGTTTAAGGTAAGAGATTTTAAACTTACAAAGTTTACAGTTGTGTTAGTTGTGATATATATATAGAGGTGTAGTGTAATAGTGTATACAGGGGTACCCTGTAGGTAATCAAAACGATACCTTCCCGCTAAAACGACTTTTCCTCGGGGCAAAAACAACTTCCCCCACTCATGAATTATTGCTCCTGTATTTTGCTTTGATGTTTTATTCCATTTTTAATTTTAATGATAGAGAACAAATCCTGAAATACTGACATTAACAATACAATTTCGGATTCGACCTCATTTTCACTTTAAAACTCAAGAAAAAGACAAATAACCGTCACTAAAATGTCAAACCTGATATCAACACACCTAAAAGACACAACTCAGGCATTAAGAGTCTATTATTTAAATTTGAATATTTTTAAAAGGTGGTAAAGCATCATAGCTACTTGTAAACATCAAGGTAATACATACACGTGCATTTAAGGTTAGGATCTTTACCGCCGGCAAAGTACAACATCGTATTATGTGAAATGGCTTCCTCAGGGAAGGGTTTCAATATGATCTCTCTTTTTAAGGAAGACAGATGCGTTTAAAAGGCTTAAATTTGCCAAGTTGCTTTTTTCCTCGTTTCACGTATGCCAATTACTTATATACATATACGTGCAATGAAATTAAATACCGTAAGAGCAACATTTTCCTTTTCGTTGTATTATTCACCATGGCACCCCATGCGGTTCTGTTACTTAAACCCTACAGTTTTCTAAAAACAAAATATTTTTTTAAAAAAATTTACGATATCAATACTTTAAATCAATAAAAAAAAATTAACAATTTTTAATAGTGAGAAAGGAAAAACTTTAATGAGAAAATTGGTCAACTTTTGATGACGGTATTCAAATAGATGTAAGGACCGCTTTGTCATTTTGAAAACAATTGGACAGTTGACTAAAAACAGAAGTGAAAAAAGCATGCCGCAATTTTTAGGCACCTGGGTGACATAACATCAGAAATAGGGAAAGAAGGGGAAATACAATACAAAAGGGAAAATGATATTTGAATCATACCGGCTCACCTTCAGAGACACGTACGGCTGAGTTTTCACTGCAACATATATGTAGTCAAACCTTTATTTATAAACATATATGAAGCTGGTTGCATATCAGCTTTTAACATTTCTTTACACTGCAATCAGTTATTGATGGAAAGATATATGTTTTAAATGATTAAAAGGATAACAACTGTTCGTTTTGGCCAAAAAATAAATTGTCTGAGTAAACGACAATTTTCCTATACTTACCAATGATTAACGAATCCATTTCTTCATTCAAAGTTAGTCCGTGATTTTTTTCTAAAAATTTGGTTTAAAGTTATAATCACTTAAGAGATTATAACAGAGTATAGCCATCTATTCAGATATCTGCATAATAGCTATAACTGCTGTTTTTGTAGTAAAGCAGAATATATTATATTTCTATGAGTTGTTTACAGTGTTTTTATTGTGAAATATAGATCTCATACGAAGAGTTATTATCCCTTTAAGATGTGACTTGACGAGTTGCAAGTCAGTCATAGAACTTAATTCAAACGAATAAAAGAGGTGACTGAGAGACGTATATTTTAACTTCACATACACTCTCATTATGTTTCTTTATTAGCCCTTATTTTGTGATATTCATGTTCCAAATCATATCACGTAAGGACAACTGTAGGTGTGAATAGATCACGTATAAGTAAGAATCAGGCCGGATGTTTTCCATAAAATTCTAGTAGTAACAAAATAAACAAAGAATCCCATACACACGTCAAATACGTACTGTATATTACCTCTGAGCAATTCTTTATTAACTTGGTATGTCTATACTGAAAGATATAGTTCTCTCCAATCTAAAAGTAAAGTTTCAAAGCAAAAGGAAGTTGTGTTTATGCTTTAATGGCGATCAATATAAGATGCTGACCAATTTCAAATTACAGAAAATTATTGAAGTGGTAACATTTTAACAGCTCTCTTTATATGTCGCAACCTTGAAGTTATTCTTGGTGACAGTATTCCAGGATATGAGACTTCCCTCGTTAGTATTTCCACAAATTGCTAGGCCGGGGATGTCGACTTTATCATGGTCCCAGACGTTGACGCCGCCGACGAATCCGACAAATGAAGGATGCCTAGGATATGCATAAGGCGTTGCCTCGTAATGGGTGTGTCCAACCACCCAATTGCCACCTGGAATTTTGTCATTATAAATATAAAGCTTATTTGAATTATTTGACCAATTATTTATATTTTTATAATAAAAACAACAGTGCTTTGTTAAAGTTACATATTAACAAAGGATTATACTCTGAATTCTTTAGAGCTAAGAACTCCCGTCTAGATGCGTCCTAAATTAGAGAAAGGGAAATTACACATATTAACACCAGTTTATGGATTATATAAGATAACTTGATATAACAAACATTTTGAAACGGAATTAACCTGTTTAACATGAATATCAATAGCAACTCATTTAATCATTTGAACATTTTACTGTAGAAATTAGTAAATTGTCTGGATTGAAGCTGTTTACAGTACATACTTTGTTCTGGTTGTTCATATTGATATGATCGGAAGCCAAATAACTATAGCAAATATTTATCTTTCCGTGTTGTCCATACACCATTTTCTTATTACCTCCGGGTATGCGTGAAACTTTAACATGTTGACTCAGCGCGTGGAGGCCATCCCTGTAGATATTAATCTCTCTCTTGGCACCACTCCACACCAAACACCAGTGGTGCCAGTTCCCATCGGCCGGTAGGGGCGCTTCAGCACGAGAGGACCCACCCAATACATTATCGCCCTTCAAAAGAACGGAGTAGCCGTGACCAACGGGGCTGTATTCAAGTTCAATACACTGGCGACAACTCTCTGAGCCGTAGGATAGAATGGGGCCGCTTGTGGTGCGGGTGGTTTTGATCCATGCGCAGGCTGTAAAAACATCCAGATCGGGGGTATTCGCCTGTAGATGTGACCAAGAGATGGTGTTATCTGGTTCAGGGAAGTGCAGAACCCGACCACCTTGTAAAAGTAAATATGAATACTGGCATAAACAAAGGACATCAACAGAACAAAGACGCTTATTCTGATCAAATGGTAAGACTTTCTAAGTATATTATTAAGACAATTAATGTCATATTGTAACAAAACTTGCATTTTAATGTGAATAATTCTATGGACATATATTTAGATCGCAAAAGCGTCTTAAACGTAGAATTTCTTTATCTCTTACACAGTTTACCATTTTCCAAAAATGAAAAATATCACTGCATATAAACACTGAAATGGAAAACACGACAAACATGAAGAATTGTAATTAGGCCGTTGAATTGATGACACCAGTCCATTCGTTTCTTAGTGCTTTTTCTTTAAGGAGTTACATGTACCACGTAAAGCACGTTTTAGAACTCCATTTTAAATATCTATTTGTTTTAATAATATCAGTGGTTTTATGCCTTTCTTTCAAAGGCTTTGTCGAAGTTGGTGTACAACATTAATCAAAAAGGTTGTCTCACCTCGAGTTTCAAGCAATTTTATTTACAAATGATCACATCATGTGTAGGTTGTGTTTTTCATTTCAGATATCAAGATATCATTACAAACATGATTAATGGCACAGAAAATACAAAATAGAAATGAAGATATCCCTATTTAATACCCTTTATTCATATTCATAACACTGTACCCCTTAAATCAGATGTTTCACTGTGATTTCCAAAGAAGTAAAGAAATGTTGATTAAATTGAAAATACACCACCGCATGTCACCAAATTTACACACAAAAAACATTAGGATGTGCTTGTTAAAGGTCGTGTCTCTAATAGCGTGGGTCTTCCGCGTACTACAATTATCGCCTGTAGGTGGCTTACTTTTACCAAGGGTAACAGTACTGTTTTGTGGGGTATTGTCCCATTCTTCTGAAAGAGCTTGGCAGAGTTGTTCCAGATTATTAGGAGGTTGGATCACCACAGCGTTGCACACTCCAATCCATGTCACAGGTGATCAGTAGGGCTAGTATTAGGGCTCAAAGATGGTTGCTCAATCTTCAGAACAATACGTTTCTGCAACAAATCACTCTCCAGAGGAGAACTGGGAGCAACCGTTCTGTGTTGATGAAACCTGGCGCCATCCCCTAATGTTGTACATGACACAGGCCAGACTGAAGTCCAGAGAGATTTTAAATCTGATTTCAAGGTCAACTGCTTTCGTGGGATTACAAAACAATTATTTTTATTTTTGCCTCACCTAGGAGTTTTAGGTGCACATCAGTAATCTTATTTCTTTTTTCTTTCTTTCTTTTATGGGCTCCGCCGGGAAATGTAGGTAAGGAGCTCTTAAGGACATGAATAAGACTGTGGGGGATTTTCAGACGGGTGGAGAGAACTCATAAAATTATTTTTCGTGAAAAAATCCCAGGTTACGTCCCTTTCAACCTAATAGGATCATTCACGCGAAAAGGGAGATCTGACTCTACACTTTTTATGGGGCCAAAGTTTATGTGCATGTTCATCTCTTTAATAATTCCTTATTCGCAATGTTCCAGAAACACATAATACAATTTATAGATATATTATAAATAAACATTTTATGTAGCTCAAGCTAAATACCTGGCACTGGGGACATTGATTCGCTGCCAATACAATAAGACAAAGCAGGAAGCAGGAAATGCCCAAACATGGCGGCTCTCATTAAGAAAGCATGGAAAGGGCCTACTGCAGACTAACTGTAAATATATGCTTGCTTCTAGGGTGATCCGAGGATTTGTCTATGCGAGCGCGTTCTTTCCAAACGAGACATGAGTCTAAAACACATTGCCTTTATTATACATACGTCATTTTGTCTGTTTGCATGCTCAGTGATATATTTAAACTGAATTATCAATGCAGTGAGTTTTTAGACCACATTGGACACACAATTCACCTGTAATAGCAGCATTTAAGTCACTTGGGGACATTTTTGGTATACTTACATATCGTTATTGGGATCTGCTTTTTTAAGTACCATTATCTACTAACAACGGCCATAAGTGCCTTAATAAGCGAACCTTTCATCAACTTGAAAGGAATACAATACCCACCTACCGACCCATGCACACAAACACACGAATCGTTTTCATTAGCATTAGGATTCGAGTATCTGAAGTATCTTGTATTATTATGTTTTGAGCAATAAATTGGTAAGTATTAGAGGATGACCTCATAGTGAGTTTCGCAAACAGTGCGATACACGTAGGCCAGACTTTTTTATTTTAATGGATGACATCCTGCGCGCGCACCGATTTTCGTCCGTTCTTCGGAAAAAAAAAACAAAGTCGGTTGTCGCAAACGTCGTTATTGAATTTGCTGGAAGATGAGCTTTCTGCGCATGCGTATTATCGCCACATGGAAATATGACCGCTTTGCCGTCAAATTCATCTCTAGGATTACTTTCAAATTACACGACAATTAAAGTCGTAAAGAGAACGGGGGCTGTCGTTTTGGATTGGTATGCCATTGATATTGGGCATGGATATATCACCTTTTTACAATTATATGAAAGGCTGGCGGTGGCCAGCGATTATCGCCCGGAAAATTTCAGTGACATTCTGTCCAAAGCAGCACATACCAGGTTTTTTTGTAGCGGAAAAAGGGTCGACAAGGGCGTCGAGGTATCTGGTGGGCTGAAGGTCGGACAGGCATCGACCGAAATGACCTTTGATAGATTTGGTGGTATTAAGCATATATTTGCATCATTTTTTAAACATTTCTGTGAAGTGTTCATAATGCTTTAATATTCTGAGAGTACAAATAAAGACACTGTTTGTTTAATATTCGGTTTATTCATTGCTATACCAACAAAATGCATGAAATAACCTTAAATAGATTCGGTAATATGCAGCATATCTATTCATGACTTTTTTTTACCTTTATTCGAAGTATTCACAATGCTTTAATATTTTGAGAGAATGGATAAAGACATATTGTTATTTTGATACGTGTTTCTGTGGTAAATTTGTGTTTCCAGCTGTGTACTGACAGCATTCCTTTACTTAAGCAGTACTTTTTTTTTTTGGACTGTATTTTTTTCGCCCTCTCGCACCGATTTCAGGGTCCTCAGATGATGTCATCTATAAAAATAAAAAAGCGTGGCCTAAGTGGTTAAGATAATAACAGTAGGCAAAGTCTAAGATTGTGTGAGTTGTGAAAGCATATGGTGTTTTTTTAATGTAATAAATGGAATGAGTAAGCAATGCATTTAAAATTGACTAGATATTCTGTATATATGTTATATATGGATATTTTATGTACCCCAATCTATACTGGGCTTGTTTATTCGCTTCCAATACATAAGACAAAGCCAACGCTGCAAGCAGGTGCACACGTACATTGCGGCTCTCAGGAAAAGTGGGGTACTACAGGACCTACTGCAGAATGACTCTAAATATACAAAATTGGTCAAAAAGGTTGTCCCACCCCCATTCCCATGTGTTTTGAGGGTCTGTAGACATGATGAAAAACACCTCTTGAAAGGTTGTGCAGGATAATATTGCCTGAGGTGTTAGATCAGTCGGTATTTGGATCACATTCCAAGCCCGTTGTATTAGTACATTTTTCCTTCTGGAACCAAACGTTACTGGGGCATTTTACGGTAAAATTCAACAGATAGCTCACTCCATTTGCAAGAAGTGATTTGTTGCAGAAAAAAATGTTCAAAGGATGGAATCACCATCTTTGAGCCCTGATATTAACCTAACTAATCACCTGTGACATGAATTAGAGTATGCAATGCAGAGGAGAACCAATTCCGAAATAATCTGGACCAATACGGCCACGCTCTTTAGGATGGATGTGGCAATATCCCACAAAACAGGATCATTACCCTTGTTGAAGGCATGTCGCGCCATCTGCAGGAGATAATTGCAGGGTGATCCGAGCCTAACCTATGCAGGTTTGTCGTTTCAAAACGAGACATGAGTCTAAAACACTTTGTCTTTATTATACTCACATCTTTTTGAAGTTTGCCTGCTTGCATGTCCAATGACATATTTAAACTGAATTATCAATGCAATGAGATTTTAGAGCACATTGGACACATTAAACACATCAAATAGCAGCATTTAAGTCATTTGGGGGCATTTCTGGCTTATTTCCATATCGTTATTAGGATCTTCTTTTTTTACGTACCATTATCTACAAACCACGGCCATAAGTGCCTTCACAAGCGAATCTTACATCAATTTGAAAAGTATAAAATACCCACCCACCGACCCATGCACATAAACACACAAACTAGCATTAGGAGTCGAGTATATGAAATTGCATTACTATTATATGTTTCGAGCAATAAATTGGTAAATATTATAGTACGTCATCATAGTGAGTTCGTAAACAGTGCAATGCACTTAAGTAGTTAAAATAATAACCGCAGGCAAAGTCTAAGACTTAGTTGTGAAAGCATATGGTGTTATAAATGAAATTAGTAAGCAATGCGTTTAAAATGGACTAGATATTCTGTATATATGTTATGTATAGATATTTTATGTAGCTCAATTTAAATACCTGGCACTGGGTTTGTCGATTCGCTGCCAATACAATAAGACAAAGCCAACGCTGCAAGCAGGAAATGTCCACACATGGCGGCTCTCGCGAAAAATTAGATGGTACAGGACGTACTGCAGAATGACTCTACACATATGCTTGCTTCTCGGATGACAAGATACGTGGCTAATCTATGCAGGTTTGCCGTTTCAAAACGAGGCTGGAATCTTAAACACATATTTTTTTATTACACTCTCGTCTTTTTGTAGTTTGCTTGCATTTTCAGTGATATAATTAAACTGAAAAACCAACGCAACGGGTTTTTTGCATATTAGATACATTAGACACTTCTAATAGCAGCATTTAAATTCTTTGGGGTATTTTATTGAGATCCTTTTTTACACACCATTACGAACCACGACCAGTCACATACACACAAACAACAACAGGAACCAAAATAATGATAACAGTCTGCGACACTCCTCCAAACTTTTTGTGCATTTTGCATTATGATATCTAAGAACGATCGAGGCCTAAAATACAAAAGATATTTTTCTCCCTCATATATTTCTACAATACCAGCAAGATGTTAAATGCTACATCCAATATAGGAAATGCATGCGGGTTCTTGTCGTAATCTTGTTCAGAAAGTTACTTTCATTTAATTGCTAGACAAATCAACTACCAATACAAGACGTTCCTTGTTTCAACACCGAAAAATATCTTTCAAGATAAACATGTAGGGTAGACCAAAATACTGCAGTCTGTGGCTCTAAACCTTTAACTAATGATCTGAAACCAACATGATAGTGGCCATCAGTGACAGATTAAGCGGGGAATCATGGGGGTCCTGACCCCCCTCGATTTCTGAAAAAAAATCAGACCAATGGTCCCATCCTTAACTTAGAAATTTGACTACCTGAATTATAATTCTTAACCGTACCAAATAGCACCGTTTGCCCCCTAAAATACCAATTTTTTCCAAAGAGGGACCGGTAGGGGCGACTTTGCATCCGCGGACCCCTCCTTCAAATAATCCTGGATACGCCCCTAGCCATTACAGAAAAAAAGGAAGTATACAAACATACTGCAGCATACCTATTAACAAATGCTCGTTTCTCTGATGATCTGAGGCGAATTTTATTTATTTACATTCGGTTTGTTTTATGTGTTTCGAAACGAGACATGGGATATAAAGCTCATTGCTTTTTGTATGCGGGCGTCGCTTTACTTCTTTAAGTAATGCTACTTAACAAAGTATGTCCATTGTCCAAATAACTTTTTTCTCGTTTCTTTTACGTGAAATACTTATCTACATATACTTATAAGGGAAGCAAACACTTTTAGAGGAAGCTTTTTTATTCACTACCCCATGCTGTTCTGCTACTAAAATCCTACTAACTGTTTTCTAACATACGAAATGTTTGTTTTTTACAATATGAATACTATTAATCAACAACAAAAATTACAGACATTCAGATCTCTGTACATGCATATGAAGCTGGTTGCGTGTCAATCATTAAAATTTCTTAACATTGCACTCTGTAATTGATGGAAAGATTAAATTTTTAATTGATTAAGATGTGATGTGGAGAGTTGCAAGTCAGTCATAGAAGTTAATTTAAAGGAATCAAAGTGACTGAGAGATATACATTTTAACATTTTAACTTCACATACAATCTCATTATGTTTCTATTTTTGCCCTTATTCCGAGATTTTCATGTTCGAAATGAGGTCATGTGGAAAACAACTGTAGGTGTGAATAGATCACGTATTCGTTAGAAACAGCCCGGATGGTTTTTATAAAATTCCAATAATTACAAAATTAACAAGGGTACCACATTCACATCGATTCCATATGGTCGCTTTCGGCAAATCTTTATTAACTTGGTATTTTGTTTCTGAAAAATATTGTTCATTACAGTCTAAAAGTACAATTTCAAAGGACAAAGGTAGAAGAGTTAATGCTTTTATGGCGATCCATATAGGATACTGACCAATGTCATATAACAGAAAAGTAAATGTAGTGGTAACAATTTAACAATGTTCCTCATATGTTGCGACCTTGAAGTTGGTCTTGGTAACAGTATCCCAAGAAATGAGACTACCCTCGTTAGTATTGGCACATATTGCCAGGCCGGGGATGTCGACTTTATCATGGTTCCAGACGTTGATGCCGCCAACGAATCCCACGAATGATGGATGCTTAGGAAGAGTATCAGGACTTGCCTCACACTGAGTGTGTCCAACAACCCATTTACCACCTGGAATTGTGTATTAGAATGACACAAATTTAAAATCAAGACTTAATTATTCATAACAAGTTGAACAATAATGCTTTGTAAGAATTGCATATTCACAGAAGTTATATATACAGCATTCGTCAGATCGAAGGACTCGATCCGTTGATGGGTCCTAAATTAGAGTAAGGGATATTAAAACATTTTGACACTATGCCAGATCATGGGTCATATCAACTGATTGATCTGGTCGTTATTTTACAAGTGAATCCTATGACATGATCACCAAAAGCAACCCCGTGAATTGTTTGACAGTTCAGTGAAGAAATGTATCCGATGTTTACAGTGAAGTTTTTTAACATGCTGTGCCCTGCTTGCTCATGTTGATATTTTGGAAAGATAAGAGGCTACAGCAAGTAGAAATATAAATTTCCATATCATCCAAATTATCATGTCATTTTACCTCCAGGTATACGTGAAACTTAAACACGTTGACTCAGCGCGTGGAGACCATCCCTGTAGATATTAACCTCTCTCTTGGCACCACTCCACACCACACACCAGTGGTGCCAGTTCCCATCGGCCGGTAGGGGTGCTTTGGCATGAGAGGACCCATTCAGTACATTATCACCTTTCAAGACAACCGAGTAGCCGTTACCAACGGGGCTGTATCCAAGTTCAATACACTGGCGACAACTCTCTGAGCCGTAGGATAGAATGGGGCCGCTTGTGGTGCGGATGGTTTTGATCCATACGCAGGCTGTGAAGGCGTTTAAATCAGGGGTATTTGTGTGTAGTAGTGACCATGAGAGGGTGCTACCTGGCTCGGGGAAATGCAGAACTCGATTACCACCTGAAATTTAAAATTGAACGCTGACATAAAGGACAAGATCACTGCCACAACACCAAAACTAAGAAAGTAAAGCCTAGAGCAAACTTTCAGCAACATCATAATCTGGCGGTCGCTTGCGATCACATTGAGACCTGAATAAGAAACTTTGACATATTTTGCTCGGAACAACTGCAGTAAATCAGCATACACGGTGGTTCTGTCTCAGGCAAGAAAGGCAGAGTTAACCAAAATATTCTAGTCTGCGCCTTTAAAGATATTATCTGTCTGTGTTTATCTCAGATCAAGGTTAATGCACATTCTGTTTTTTAATGCATACTGCACAACGTTGTTTGACTATAAAGTGCATCTTACCGTGAGATTTATTCTACATTCTCCACTTAAATTGCCAACCCTAATTTTCAACAAAGATAACCAGCTTTCATCTGCATTGACGAAAAGATTTAGATGACAAAGTCCTTGTTTTAAAAGCATTTTTGTTTTCAACCTTTTTATGACAATACTTCTGTTATCAGTTGTCTCTTCCCATATTCTCTCAATTCTAAATATATCTCAAAGCCAAAATTAACTCAACATATTGCTCAGTGTCTTGTCCTTTGCATGGTGTACGTACCACTTGTATATGAGGGACCTTAATTGTCATTTTTGGTATGGTCAGTAAGAATGGTGGGTATTTACCCACGTCCGGACATACCTACATCCACAGGCACATACACACAAACAGCAACAGGAACCAAAATAATGAAAACAGTCTGCGACACTACTCATACTTTTTGTGCATTTTGCATTATGATATCTAAGAACGATGTCTAAAATACAAAAGATATATTTCTCCCTCATATATTTCTACAATACCAGCGTGTTGTTTAACAATATATCCAATAAAGAAAATTCATGCGGGTTTATTTCGTAATCTTGTTGGAGAAGTTTCTTTCGGTTATTTTTGCATTGTTTACAAAGAAGTATTTCGATGCACACGAAAATCGGCCTAATCAGGTCATAAATAAGCTCATCACTGTGCTATATTTCATGGGCATATTTATGTCGAATAAAAACAAGATATGTAGGCAGTTATTAGGTCCACATATCATTTTATAATAATGATAATAATAACAATTATTTATTTCTAAAAAACTGCACTGCTCTTCTGTCTTAATGCTGTTTATACAAACAAAAATAACAGAATTACATGTAATTTTTTTAAAAACCTTAACACTAACTATTGTCCGAATGCATGAGGGTAGTTCATTCCATAAAATGCGTGCTGCAATTGAAAATGCCCTGTGGCCGTAGGTTTTGTATTTCTTTGTCAATTCTAGAAAAAAAACAAAGGGTAGAGGTGGATCTGGTGGAACTGGTGAGATTGGCTGAGTTTGGATGTAGAAAAGAATTAAAAATGAAGTGCATTCTGGTGAATTTAAAAACAAACAGTAGTCTTTTCAAAACAATTCTCTTTTGTACTGGAAGCCATTGTAGTTCAAATAAGATAGGTGAAATGTTTGATCTGAGAGGGGATTTGGTCAGTAGTCGTGCTGAAGCATTTTGGACAGATTGCAGTTTTTCAATTTGGAATAGAGAAAGACCATACTGTAGACTGATTCCGTAGTCAAGATGTGAAGTAATGAATGCATGGGCAAGCCTCTCCATTTGACCTTTGTTAAGTATATGGGATAGTTTGGATATTTTTAAAGACGGTAGAAAACGGCTATAGATATTGTACTGATGTCGACGGCCATATCGCACCTGTTATCAAAAAATTACTCCTAGGTTTTTAACTTCGTCTTTTACCCTGACCATACTGTTTCCGATTTTTAATAGTTCGGCATCTTGAGAAAAACAAGAGGAAAAGTGAACTAACTTCTGTTTTGCTATCATTAAAAAAATAGTGAAAGGGCGATAAGCCATTGACTCAACTGACTTATACATTTCTAGATAGATGGTGTCACATCTAATGGTCTGTCGCAAATAACAGAGTCTTGTGGTACGCCAAAAGCTAGTGGTGGTGATGGTGATTAGTATGTGCCTAACGTGACTGATGTTCAGACAGGTATGATTTGAACAATGTCGATGCAATGCCATTTATATATCTTTTATA